TATTTGATGCTTTGACGTAGCGGCGGACGGGGGCGGCCTGCCAGCAGCAGTCTGGACTGCCGAACATCGCAGGAGTTCTTCTTCCTTTTGCTTTTCAGCAAGGGAGCCTAAAATCGACTCCTTCTTTAGAAAAGTGTCCAAGGAACAGCACGGCATCACTCGGTGGTGGCCTCCTGCCGGCGCCGCTTCTAGCTTTATTCGCCCTACATAACTGCGCTTTGTGTCCTGATACGCCTCCTTGGTGACCATGGCTCTGGTAACGCCAGTCCACGCTTCTGTTTCTGCTACATGCTTGCTTTTTGTTTTTTTGTTCTTCTTGCTTCATCTTTTTTTTTTTTATTTTTTTTGTTAGATTCTACATATAAGAGAGGATCAATGCCAATATTGGTCTTCTGTGTCGCGCTCAGTGTCTATTAGACGCCCGGGAGGCCGGCGCGGCGGGCTCACGCCTGTCATGACTAGCCACTCTTGGGAGGCTGGGAGGCGGGCGGAGGTTTGCTCGGGGAGTCAGGAGCTTCGAACACCCTGAGCGGAGTCAGCCCGTCTCTACTAAAAATAGGGAAAGATTAATTGGCCAACTAAAGTACTTATATACAAATATATTAGGGCCGCGTGGGGTGTACATGCCTGTGTCCCAGCTAACTCGGTTAGGCTGGGGAGGCAGGAGGGAGGGATCGACTTGAGGCCCCAGGAGTCGAGGGTTTGCTGTGAGCTTAGGCTGACGCCACGGGCACTCCCTCTAGCCTCAACCAAAGTGAGACTCTGTCTCAAAAAAAAAAAAAAAAGACGCCCCGGGGAGCTGTCCGCGTCCTGGAGGTTTTCTCTCTCTCTTCTCTCTCTCTCTTTTTCCTTCTCGTCCCCCCCGTTCTCCCACGATTCCCTCACCCAACGACTGCAGCATCACGGCACATGGGGCCAGCAGGTTGGCGGCTGGCCATCCCAGGCGGGTCTGGATACACCATAGCGTCATCGTGCTCACGGTCGTTCGGCTTGCCACGGAGACATACGCTTCTTCATAGCGGTGCGATGGTTCCTGCTGAGGTGTCCTCCCAGGCCGTGTCTTCCCACGGGCCCAGCCCTGGGTGGGAGGCCCACTCAGCAACGACACAGAGTTCAGGAGGTTTAGCTGGAAGGGGGGGCCTCGAGGAGAGCCACACAGGATGGCGCGGAGGTTGGTCTGGGACGTAAGGCGGGGAGGGGACATACAGCAAAGGCTTTGTGCATCAGCCAGAGAAACTTCTCTTTCACCTGTTTCAACGTTGGAAGTCAAAAAAGACCGATGGGCGATCGGGGCTTCGGCAATTTCTTTCTTTCTTTTGAGGACAGATTCGCTCTGCTGGCAGGCTAGGTGATGTGCCCGTGGGCTCGGGCCTCCTCACAGCCAACTCAGATTCTGGGGCTCAAGCAATCTCTGCTCAGCCCTCCCGGTGCTGGACTACAGGCATGGCGCACCATGCCCGGTCTTTTTTTCGCGTTACGTATATATTTTTGTTGGCAATTAATTTCTTTCTATACTTATATAGGTCGGATGGGTGCTGGCCCTCTTGCTCAGGCCTGGGTTTCGAACTCCTGAACTCGGGAGCAATCCTCCCGCCTGGGACCTCCCAGTGCCGGGATGACAGGCTGGTTGAGGCCACCGCACCCGGGCGGCCCTCTTTTTCTTCTTTTTTTTGGTTTTTAGAGGATGGGGTCTGCTGTGTGCCAGGCTGCGGCTCCCCTGGCCTCAGTTTCCTGGGGAGGTAGATAGGATGGGCAATGCATACATTTTAAAAACATTTCTACTGGTTGAGACAGTGAGGAACCTGCTATCAAAAAAAAAAAAATTTGTCAGCTTTTTAAAGGCAGGAGGTTTAACATTTAAAAAAAAAAAAGCTCTGGACTGCCATCCACGGTAGGGGAGCGTTCGCTGGGCTGATCCCATTGGGACGGTTGCGCCGCCTTAGGGCCAGGCCCTCGTATTGACCAAGGCCTGGCCTGATTTATCACGGGTGGTTACCGTCCTTTGGTCTTTACGGATTTCAGCTGGACGAGTGCCCAACCATCGCTATCAGATGGTCATATCTTGGCTGTTTTTTTTGTTTTTAAGTCGCATTGGCTAAAAAAAACAAATATAAAAATTAAAACAAAAAAAAAATAAAAAAAAAATATAAATAAATTTAAAAAAATAAACATGTGGTATTCTCAGAGCGGGTCCGGCCTCGTTTGTTGGAAGGGGAAACTGGAGGGTAAGGCGAGGGTGTTGAGGAAGCTGGTGAGTTCATGTTTGGCACAGATGCTACTGGCAGGTACAGGGGGCTCCCGGGCCACCGACCCTGTTGCCCTCCTTTGTTGCTTTTTTCGGGCCCCCATGAACACCTGTTTCTCTCCCTTCCTCCCCGCCAGTGACGGCTTCTCAGATGACACTGTGCTGGGGGGACTTCATCGGGGCGGCCGTCATCGAGCACTTGTCCCAGCGGGAGCTGGAGCTGCAGGAGGCGGAGCTGACCCTCCCCGCTGGGGAAAGCCCTATCAAAGTCCCTCATGGCCCAGGAGAAGGGGGCCTCCAGGGGGCGGGGAGGCAACGAGAGTGCCATGTGAGGGGCCCCCAGCCTGCCGGCCAGAAAGGAGGGAAGGGGACCGGGGAGGGGAGTCCTCGAGGGACAATCTCCACGCCAACCGGCCTCGGGCTGAGCACAAGGGTCATGCTTACTTGGTTTAGGGGTCCGGGACACTGAAATAAAGGGACAGGCACGAGAGGTGTCCAAGGTCTCCGTTCATCTCTGAGCGCGTGCGAAGAACGTTAGGGAGGGCAGCGACAAGGAGAGGTGAGGCACATCCCCGCGCCACCCCGGGTTTACGGGGAGGGAAGGCTTCGGGTGCAACAAGCGAGAGGTCAACTCATGCCCCTGAGTTTCTCAAGGAGTGGGGGAACTGAAGAAGATAAAGAAAAAGCCACTGTTTCTCATAATAAAGCAGTACCCATCGCCTCTGCGTCAGGCCCCCCAAGACCGTTTTCAGGTTCGATGATTCATTAGAAACACTCACAGAGACCTCAGAAAGGCTATGGTCCTCGCAGTCACGGCTTGCTACACTGACAGGCACAGATTCAACTCGCCAAAAGCAGCGGGGGCACTGGGCAGAGGCCGGGAGACACCAGATATGGGTTTCTAGTTCCCTCCCGTAGGGCTGCGGACAGCGCCTAGTTCTCCCAGCCACGACCTGGGCGACGACGGCACCTGTGTTTTGGAGGTCTCGCCAACCCCGGGAAGCTCGCCCGGGCTCTGGTGCTCAGAGTTTTTACTGGGGCTCCGTCACAGGCCCCGAGCACTCGCTGACCTTAAGCTACTCAGTCCGCAGCCCCTTTGGGGATCAGTCTGACGCAGAGTGGCCCAGGGCCACAGGCATTCGCCGCAGACCACGGTGCTAGCGTGGACTGTCCGGTGTGGCCCCCGCTACGCGGACGATCTTGTGAGTCAGGTCATTCCAAGAGCTCAGAGGCCACCTCCCAGGAAACACTCAAGGGCCAGCCCTTTCTTTGGGGGTGGCAGGCTCTGAACATCCCAACCCCATTGAGTTAACTCTTTGTTGCACATACCGTGTTTCTCTGAACACCAAGACAGGGTCTTATTTTATTTCCCTCAAGAAGACGCCCTAGGGTTGATTTTCAGGAGATGTGCTATTTTTTTTTTTTTTAATCTACACTTCGGTACAGCGCTCACTGGCAGCGCAACCTTGCCCACAGCCGGCACTCACAGTCCGCACGACAGTTTGTGCTCGCATTGACAACGAACCCATTTTGCTTTGTGTGGATGGGGAAAGCCTAAAAGCACTGAGGACTTGTTTTATGGTACAGCAATCTACAAATACTCAAAAAGTTAGTCGTTTTTTGGTCTTCTTCTGGAACATCATCCTCACTCTCCAAACCCCGAATCCCATCCTGAATTTCTTGCGGCTCTATTTCCTTCAGAACCAGCGGCCCCGATCTCTCCTGTGGAGCACTAGAGCTCTCACGGGGCGGAGAAGGGCTGCTCGTCGTCTTTCCCGCTCCGCGACGAAATGCACGGGCTGTGCAGACGCGCCGCGCAGCCACGCCCGTCGCTAGGCCTTATTTTCGGGGTGGGGCTTCTATTGCAAAAATGCTTAGAAATCCTGCTAGGGCTTATTTTATGGGTAGGTCTTATATTCGGGGAAACACAGTACTTCAAGGTTGGGAGTGGAGGGAACAGATTCGCATGGGAGGGACAGCTAGGTCTTGTAGCCTCAACTCTGGCTCTAGAGACTGGTTGGTGCTTTACCTCCACGCCGGTCTCAGGGCCGGTGGTGTCTCTTTACCACACAGGGGTGGACCTTGGCCACTTTGTGTTATTTTTCTGCAGCCTAGTTAGCCACGTGGGGCATTAAAGACTTGGAGAAAACACGAGATAAGTAAACGTGCTCTAGCTAGACTCTGTGACCCCTTTGTCTGAGAAATACAACACAATTTCTTCTAAATCAAATTAAGCTTCATTTGAACTCCTGTCTCCAAAAAGGGAGGAAAATCCAAGTGCAGGTGTGATTTGAAGCACCCCCACCCTTGCACATTTTTGTTTGTTTTTTACTGAGACAGAGTTTCGTTCTTTTGCCCAGGCTGAGGGCAGCGGCATCATCGTGGCTCTCTGCAGCCTCAAATTCCTGGGCTCTCCTGACGCTTCCTTCCCTCAGCCTCCCTTGTAGCTGGGACTACGGGCATGCACCACCACACCCGGCTAAGTTTTCTATTTTTTGTAGAGACCGGGTCTTGTTCTTGCTCAGGCTGCTAGTCTTGAACTCCTGGCCTCAAGCCATTCTCCTGCTTTGGCCTCCAGAGTGCTAGGATTACAGGCATGAGCCACTGCGCCCTGTGCCTGGCCCCAAAGCACTCACCTTTAATTTTCAAAATGATTTCACCACCAGAGAGTAGGATAAACATTACTCAGGTATGTGGATAGTAACCACTTTGGTACGGCGGTCACCGGCCACGAAACCTTGCCCACAGCCGGCACTCACAGTCCGCACGAGTTTGTGCTGTGCGTTGGCGACGGATCCGTTTTGCTCTTGTGTGATGGGGAAAGCTTGGAAGCACTGAGAGTTTTACTTTACAGCAGCTTTACTCGTAATGTCAATCAGAATAGGTAACATATACATATATGTTTTCATTACGTTATTTTTAAATGTTCACAAATCTATTTTGATAAATAAAAAATTAGAAAAGTCACATCACGGCTGTTGGCTAAAGTCAACGCTCGGTTCATCTGTGGCTGTCGACTGTAGTCGACGCTTGTACCGAAGTGGTTAAATAAAGGTAATGTGTTTCATAATATTTTGCATCAGAAGTAAAACATTATAAAAACCCTGTGAAATCTCAAATACCATTCCATAGAGTGAAAAAAAAAAAAAGGGGGGCATGTAAACCTTGTGCTTAAAGATGAAACCGTATTTTACTTACATGTCGAACCACACATATGTTCCTTTATTAAATCAGCATTAAAGCAGGATAGGAAGTTTTTAGACTTGGCTTTCACACTACAGGGCTTGCAATATAGGACACCTCTTTTCAGAAAGATAAGTGTTACCGAGGGGAGGCTCATAAAAGATCACTGAAATCATGCACTTACGGCCGAGTAGAGGTCCATGGTACACATACACGACATTTCACTAATCCATTCTTGGGTTGATGGGCACTTGGGTTGTTTCCACACCTTTGCAATTGTGAATTGTGCTGCTATAAACATTCGAGTGCAGGCGTCTTTTTTTACAGAGTGTCTTTGGTTCTTTTGGGTAAATACCTAGCAGTGGGATTGCTGGATCACATGGTAGTTCTACGTTTAGTTCTCTGAGCTGTCTCCATACCTCCTTCCATAGAGGTTGTGCTGGTGCGGTGTGCGCCACCTAGGGCACGGGCATGCTTGTAGCTTTGATGCAGGCGGAGGGCGCCAAGGCAATTTACCTGATCAAAGCATCTTGCACCCCCGTAATATGCTGAAATTTTTTTAAAGAATGAAAAAATAAATCAAGCACTTTCCCCTCAGAAATGAAAGTTTCCATATGCAAGCAGAGTTTCTTATAGAGCTTTTACAATATACGTCTGGGTTTTAAAGAACACCCCTGGGGAAAGGGAAACACAGCTCACTTTTCAGGGGATTGTGGAATGGATTAGATGATCCTTTTGTTTTCTTAAGTCTACAGCCTTATTGTTTAATAAGGAAGTTTAAACTTTAAAGAAAGTTTAATAACTTTCTTAAGTCTTATAGCCTATTTATTGCTCCTGGGCTACTAGCCTGCACAGCATGTTACTGCTCTGAATACTGCAGCCAATTATAAGCATGGTTATGTATTTGTGTATCTAAACATAGAAAAGTTGCAGTAAAAATATGGTATAGAAGATTTTTAAAATGGTGCATCTGTATAGGACAGTTACCAGGAAACGAGCTTGCAGGACTAACAGTTGCTCTGGGTGGGTCAGGGAGTGAATGGTGAGTGGATGTGAAGGTCTAGACATTATTCTGCACTGCTACAGACTTTACGAACACTCTACACTTAGGCAACACTAAATATATTTTTAAAAAAAACTGTTTTTCTTTCTTTGATAATAAATGAACCTCAGCTTGTTGTAACTTTATAACCTTTTCAAGTTTTAAAACTTTTTGACTAAGTTTTAAAACTTAAGTTTTTTAAAACTTTTGACAGCTCAAAACACAACCCCATTGTACAGTGGCACAAAAATATTTTTTCTTTATCTCTTTATTATACATGTTTTTTATTTTTAAAATTTAAAAACAGATTTTCCTTTTAAACTTTTTGTTGTTGTTGTTAAAAACTAAGAAGCAAACACACACATTCGCCCAGGCCTACACAGGGTCAGGCTTATCAACGTCACTGTCTTCCACCTCCACGTCTTGACCCACTGTAAGGTCTTCAGAGCAACAGCACCCACAGAGCTGTCATCTCCTCTGATAACAACGGCTTCTTCTGGAATAGCTTCCTGGGAAGGACCTGCTGACCTTTTTACAACTAGACTTTTTTTTTTTTTTTGAGACAGAGTCTACTTTGTTGTCCAGCTAGAGTGGAGTGCCGTGGCGTCAGCCTAGCTCACAGCAACTCAAACTCCTGGGGTCAAGCATCCTCCTGCTCATGCCTCCGATAGCTGGGACTACAGCATGCGCGCCACCATGCCGCGGCTATTTTTTTTTATATACTATATCAGTTGGCCAATTAATTCTTTCTATTTATAGTAGGAGACGGGGTCTCGCTCTTGCTCAGGCTGGTTTTGAACTCTGACCTTGAGCAATCCGCCGCCTCGGCCTCCCAAGAGCTAGGATTACAGGTGTGAGCCAGCAGCGCCCGGCCCAACTTTTTTTTTATACATATTTTTAAATATAATAAAAAGTATAGCCGGGCGCGGTGGCTCATGCCTGTAATCTAGCACTCTGGGAGGCTGAGGCGGGCGGATGCTCGAGTCAGGAGTTCGAAACAGCCTGAAGCAACGAGCCGAACCCGTTCTCTACTATAAAGTAGAAAGAAATTAATCGGCCAAGCTAATATATATACAAAAAAATTAGCGCCGGCGATCGCGGGCGCATGCCTGTAGTCGCCAGCTACTCGGGGAGGCTGAGGCGCAGGATCGCG